GTAGTCGTAGTAGTCGTAGTAGTCGTAGTAGGTCGTAGTAGTCGTAGTAGTCGTAGTAGTCGTAGTAGTAGTAGTAGTAGTAGTAGTAGTAGTAGTAGTAGTAGTAGTAGTAGTAGTAGTCGTAGTAGTAGTAGTAGTAGTAGTAGTAGTAGTAGTAGTAGTAGTAGTAGTAGTAGTAGTAGTAGTTGTAGTTGTAGTTGTAGTTGTAGTTGTAGTAGTAGTAGTAGCCCTGAGTCGACGAAAGATCGTTCCAAGACGCCCAACATGGCCTCCAGACGGCCGCAGCGCCAAGAAACCGCGGGGAGATTCAGGAGGCCCTCCAAGAGCCTGAACAAACAAGAACCTCCCAGGCATTCGTCACCCCAGGGCCTCCTGGAACGCCCCGGCGCCCAATGAATTGGCGAGCTAAAAACGTGCGCCGAGCCAAAGCGGGAGCGCAACTTTGAGAAAATTTCACTCGGCTCCCAAGCGAGAAGGTCATTTCATTCACTTCGAGCGGGGGGGGGGTGCCGTGCCCAATTCTTGCCATGCACTTTTGCGGGGTGGACGACAAGCACAGCTATGTGGGCAAACGAAAATCTGCATGGCATTGCTTCTGACAAGTAAGGTGGCCCCTCCCGCCTTGGGGTTGCCCCAGAAGTCCGCGCGCGATGTGCGCCGCGCCCCGCTCCTGCCACGCATTTCGCATCGTCGACGACAAGACAGGCCATGATGAAAGGAAAAACGGCAACTCTACATTGTTTTTTACAGTCAGGATGGGAGGGCCCGCAGCCCGCAGGGACGTCCGCGCCCGATGCGCGCCGCGTCCCATTCCTGCCACATATTTCGCACCGTCGGCGACAAGGCAGGCCATGCTGAGAGGAAAAATCGGAGACTTTGTATTGATTTCTTACAGTCAGGATGGGCGGGCCCAGATTGACGGCCGCGCGCGATGCGCGCCGCGTCCCATATGTGCGCCGCGTCCCACTGCTGCCACATATTTCGCACCGTCGGCGACAAGGCAGGCCATGCGGAGATGAAAAACGAAGACTTCATATTGATTGTTTACAGTCAGGATGGGCGGGCCCCTGCGCACGAGGCCAAGGGGCCTGGAAGGGCCGGAAGGGGGGGCCCGACACGCCATGCGAGGACCGGGCCGCCAGGGAAGCCCCCAGACAGCCCAAGACAAAGCCCAACACAGCTGGAAAGGGCCGCGAGCGGCCTCCAAGAGGCCTGCCTGTTCGGTTTCCCGACGCTCCAACACGGCCCAGGACACCCAAAAAATCCAACCAGGCTCCTACCAGGCCGCCGAGACGGCCCAGGGCCGCTCCCAGATGGCCCAAAAACGCCCCAACATTGTTGAAAAGGGCCGCAAGAGGCCTCCACGAGGCCCCGAAACGCGGACACATCGCTCGAACACGCCCAAGAAAGTTTCTGGATGGCCCAAAAGGCTTCCCACAGGGCCCAAGGGGCCCCCAGGAGCACACCCAAAAGAGCCCCAAGAAGCCAACATCATTTGCTTTTCCGGTGGTTTTTCATAAATTTCAGCGTTTCTGCCTGTTCAGCTTCCTCACGCCCCAAGCCAGGCCCGGATACCCAAATATCGCCCCAACAGGCCCCCATGAGGGCGCCGAGACGGCCCAGGGACGCCCCCAGACGGCCCAAGACAGCCCCAACACAGCTGAAACTGGCCGCAGGAGGCCTCCAAGAGAGTTGCGGTCACCGAACTATCGTTCTAACACGCCCAAGACGGCCTCCGGATGGCCCAAAAGCCTTCCAACACGGCCCACGGGGTCCCCAAGAGCTCTGCCAAAAGGGCCAAGAAGCCAAAATTATTGATTGTCCCTTACTTGTTTATGGATTTCAGTAATTCTGCCCGTTCAGCGCCCCGACGCTCTAAGACGGTCCCGGACACCCAAATATCGCCCCAACAGCCGAGACGGCCGAGGGAAGCCCTGCCGCGGGGCCCCGGACGGGGCCTTCGGACGGGGGGCTCCCAGGGGCCCTGCCGTGGCGCCGGGGGCTTTGTAAAATTGTCGAAGACGGCCCCGGATCGCCAGAAATGGCGTTTCCAGACTACGAAAACGACCAATGACGGCCCGAGATCACCCTAGAATTAGCCCTTGACAGGCCCTCAGAGGCCCCAAGAGGCAAGAATCATCGTCTTGCCATCGGTTTTTGATTGATTTTCGAGGTTTCAGCCATTGGGCGTCCCGACGCTCCAAGACGGCCCAAAAGGCCTCCAAGACCGTTCCAAGATAGCCCAAGAGGCCTCGAACAGGGCCCTAAGACGGCCCGAGAGGGCCCCAACAGGGTGCCTGAGGCGCCGAAAGACGGCCCGAGAGGGCACAAGACGGCCCCAAGAGGGGCGCAAGAGGGGTAAGACGAATCGAAAATCCGAGCCTTCCACCCCGAGAAGCTCTCAGGAAGCCCCAAGAGGCCCCCAATAGGATCCACGAAGCCCTCAAGAAGCTCCCCAGAGGGCCGAAGAGGTTCCAAGAGGCCTCCCAAGAATGCCCCAAGAGGCAGGAATCATCGTCTTGCCATCGGTGTTCGATTGATTTTCGAGGTTTCAGCCATTGGGCGTCCCGACGCTCCAAGACGGCCCAAAAGGCCTCCAAGACCGTTCCAAGATAGCCCAAGAGGCCTCGAACAGGGCCCTAAGACGGCCCGAGAGGGCCCCAACAGGGTGCCTGAGGCGCCGAAAGACGGCCCGAGAGGGCACAAGACGGCCCCAAGAGAGGCGCAAGAAGAGGAACGCGAACCCAACAGCAGAGCCTTCCGCCCTGAGAGGCCCACAGGAGGCCACAAGAGTCCCCAAGTGGCCCGACGAAGCTCCCAACAGCCTCCCAAGAGGCCCCAAAAGGCCCCCAGGAGACGTACAAGGGGCCCCAAGATAGCCGAACAATATCCTCGATGCATCAAAACTGCCTCCAGGAGGCCCCCGGCCGGGAGGCTTCCGGATTGCCTCAATGTGGCCCCAGGTGGCCTCAAGTCGGGCCTCCACGCAGCCAAGACGGCCAACGACGGCTTCAGAATGCAGAGCATCGCCTTCCGACTTCCCGGAGAATCCCAACGACGCCCCCAAGGGGCCCCAAGACGCCCCCCCAAGAAGCACCCAAGAGGTGCCTCCAACAGCCAACTGAGGAAGCACGGAGAACCCCCCAGAAGCCCTTCAGATGCCCCCACGAAGACCCAAGCTCGGCATCGCTCGGACGTGTGCATTTTTTCTTCGGCGAGGACCATTGAGGAGCATCCTCTATCATTTGGCGAAAAAACCACGCACGAAACCGGAAAAAGCACAGGGAATGGACGTCCGAGCGATGGCGAGCAAGAGGCTCCAGAGAGGCCCGCAGGAGGCACGGCCACGTCACGCGCCTTTGCCTGATAGCGCTGCCCAAGATCATGCAGCGCCCCCCTGGCTTGGGCTAGAACCTGAGCGCGCGCGAAGCGCGCGCGATGCTTCTAGTATCTCTCTCTAACTCTCTCTTCTTCTTTTTTTCTCTCTCTCTCTCTCTCTCTCCCTCTGTCTCTCTCTCTCTCTCTCTCTCTCTCTATATATATCTATATATACACACATAGATGTCTGTGTATACATGTATAGACATGTAGTGGCCTTCGGCCCATCCCTCCACCGCGCCTGGGTTGTAGGACAGGAGCCTCATGGATGCCTGTGGGGATCTCATGAGAGGCCTCTCGGATGCCTCTTGGGGGCCTCTTGGGCCTGATTTGGGCGTATCGGGGCGCGCCTTGGAGGCTTTGGGATTATAGTGGGGTCATCTTGGGGCGGGCGGCTTAAGACATCAGATCGTGTTCCCTATCTTGGGCTCCTCTTGGGGCCGTTTTCGGAGCCTCTTGGGCCCCTCTTGGGGGCTCTTGGGCCGTTTCGGAGCGATCTTGGGCACATCGTGGGCCGTTTTGGACGCGCTGAAGACCGAAAAGGCGGTTCTGAGAAAACCCATCAAAAAACCAATGGACTTTGACGATGTTGGCTTCTTGGGCCGCCCTCCAGGGCCTCCAAGACGGCCGAGGAGGCCCTCAAGAGGGTTCCAGGAGGGTCCCCGGTGCCATCTGAAACCATGTGTGACATGCATGTCCCGCGCAACCCGCTCTTGGCATCTGGAAAAAGCACGCGGCGAACCCCTGGTAGCGCCCGGGAGCGCCCGAGAGCGCCCAGACTTTTGGTTGTGGGCTTCCGAAAGAATACCCAAGAGGCTGGCGCCACTGCGCCGATCCCAAGCAGAAAGCATAGGCGGGGCGAGGAAATATTGAAGGCAAGTTGGAGTCTCTTGGGACGCCTCTGAGCCGCCTCTTGGAGCGTTTGTCGAGGCATCTGGGGGCCGTTTGGTGCCTCTTGGAGGCCTTTGGGAGGGCTCGTGGGCGTCGTGGGGGCGGCTGGAAGGCCTGTGGGGGGCTCTTGGGGCTATTCGGATTCCCCTTCTTGGGCCTCTCTTGGGACTCTTGGGTCGTCTTGGGAGCCCCTGGGGCCAGATTGGCCTCTCTTCGGGGGCGCTTGGGCCGTCTTGGGGGCCCCTGGAGGCCCTCTTGGGCCGTCTTGGGGCGAACTTGTGACGATCTTGGGAACCGTTGGGGCCGACTTGGACGCTCTCAAGACGCAAAAGGGGAGTATGCTGAGAATGCACGTCTTCCAGAGGAAATGACAGGACGTTTGCTCTTGTTGGGGCCTTCCCGGCGGTCCTATCGGAGAACTCGTTGGCCGTCTTGGGCGCGTCGTGGGCCGTCTCGAAGCTTGCTTGGATCGCCGTGGGGCCACCTTGGGCCATCTCGACGCTTTCTTGGGCTGTCTCGGCATTTCGGCCGGGCCCTCTTGGGCCGCCCTGGGGCGTCTTGGGGCTCCGGAACGGCCCCAGGCCTCTCCCCCCCCCCCACCCACCCCACCTCAAACGGCATTTAGGGCCCCAGGGGAGGGGGAAAGGGTGAGGGGGACAGCCAATCATCTCATGCGCATTTGCACCCCCGACAAGGGGGGAGTTGGCGGATCGACATAGCTCAGCACAGAGGAATCGGAGTGACCTGATGACACTCCAACTCGTGCCTCCTCAGGGCACGGCGGCGGATGTGGACATGTGTATGTATACATATGTTGATGTACGTATTGATCTACATGCATACATTGATACCAGTATATGTAGCAGTGTCTCTCTCTCTCTCTCTCACTCCCAGTCCCTCATCCCTCACCCTTCTTCCTCCCGGCCTCCGCTTCCCCCTCTCCTTCTCCTTCCTCCCCGCATCCGTGACTCACCCACGGGACTATTCAGTGGCGGCCCGCTCGCAGACCCGGCAGTTTGCTCAGTGATCCCCTCAGGACGCCCCGGCCTACGTGACCTTCGGCAAGCCCGAGAGTGCGCGGGATCCTTGGTGCCCGTGGAAGGTGCACTACTGCGGGAGCGAGGCGAGCACCAGGCGCTGGGCGCCCCTCGGGCTCCGCAGGCGAGGAGCAGGAAGCGGAGAAGCAGGAGGAGGAGAAGCAGGAGGAGGAGGAAGGGGAAGCGAGGATCTGGAGGATGGAAGTGGCGACGCCAAGAGTGGTCACGAAGACCGACCTCAGCCCCTGCCAATTTTGAACGGGATTCGTTATCGGTGTCGCCGCGGACCTGGCCCGCTGTCTGCTTGGGACACGATGTGTTGTTAGGTAGTTATCGTACCCATTGCCGTCATTCCCATGTCCGTCGTGTCCAGAGGAAAAGGGAGTTGTTTACCACCGGGCGTTTTCGCCCGGGTTCGGGCCCTGGGGCCCTCACGGATCGTTCCGTCTCGAGAGTTGTTGCAAAAAAAGTAAGGTCCAGGACTCCAGTAGGGATTTTTCGCGTCGCTGCATTTCTGTTCGCGGCGCCGGATCTCGGGGAACGACGGAGGAGGAAGGCGGAGGAGGACCGCCATCGGGGTGGACCGTCCTGGTTGCGCAGCCGAGCACCGGGCGGCGCTGGCTGGCTGAACCAGTTCCGTGGCGTGCTCTTCGAGCTCTACACTATATCCAGGCTTTGTTCTTCGGTGTCAGAAGGTGGCATCAGGCGTGAGCCTACAGACCCGGTCTCGGCTGCAAGGCGGAGGAGGAATGAGGAAAGGAGAAAAGGATGGTGGAGGATGCAGAACGCTACTGCGGCAGCCGGGCCAGCACCAGGACCACAGAGCGTTTTCTCCTTGTGTTTGTGTTTGCGTTTCTGTTTGTGTTTGTGTGCTTGCGTGTTTGTGTATTTGTGTGTTTGTGCGTTTGTCCGCCCGCGTGCGTGTGTGTGTGTGTGTGTTGTGTGTGTGTGGGTGTGGGTGTGGGTGTGAGTGTGAGTGTGTGTGTGTGTTTGTGTGTATGTGTGTAGGTGTGTGGGTGTGTGGGCGTGTGGGCGCGAGGGTGTGTGTGTGTGTGTGGGTGTGTGTGTGGGTGTGTGTGGGTGTGTGTCGATGTGTGGGTGTGTGGGTGGGGTGTGTATGTGTGTGTGTGTGGGTGTGTGGGTGTGTGGGTGTGTGTGTGTGTGTGGGTGTGAGTGTGATGTGTGTGTGGGTGTGTGGTGTGGGATGTGTGGGTGTGTGTGTGTGGGTGTGTGGGTGTAATGTGTTGTGTGTGGGGGGGGGGGGTCACCAGGGTGTGTGTGGGTGTTGTGGGTGTGTGTGTGTGTGGGTGTGTGTGTGGGTGCGTGTGGGTGTGTGTTGGGTGTGCGTGTGTGTGGTGTTTGTGGGTGGGTGAGTGTGGGTGGGCTGTGTTGTGGCCTGTGGTGTGTGGGTTTGAGTGTGTGTAAAAGAAGATGGTAGTGGAAGAGAAAACCAACGATGCCTGTGTGTGGCTGTGTGTGGCTGTGTGTCGGCGTGTGTGTGTGTGGGTGTGTGTGTGTGTGGGTGTATGTGTGCGTGGGTGTGTGTGTGTGCGTGTGCGTGTGCGTGTGCGTGTGCCTGTGCCTGTGCCTATGCGGGTGCGTGTGCGTGTGCGTGTGCGTGTGCGTGTGCGTGTGCGTGTTGGTGTGCGTGTGCGTGTGTGTGTCAGTGTGCGTGTGCGCGTGCGTGTGCGTGCGCGTGCGCGTTCGTGTGCGTGTGCGTGTGCGTGTGCGTGTGCGTGTGCGTGTGCTCGTGGGCGTGCGCGTGCGTGTGCGCGTGAGCGTGCGCGTTTGCGTGTGTGCGTCCGCGCGGTGAGCGTCGTTCGGGGTGTGAGTGTGCGTGTTGCGTTTGCTGTTGGTGTGGCGCGTGCGCGTGCGTGTGCGTGTGCGCGTGCGCGTTCGCGTGCGCGTTCGCGTGCGCGTGCGGTGCGCGTGCGCGTGCGCGTGCGCGTGCGCGTGCGCGTACGCGTGCGCGTGCGCTTGCGCGTGCGCTTGCGCGTGCGCGTGCGTGTGAGCGTGCGCGTGCGCGTGCGCGTGCGTGTGCGTGTGCGTGTGCGTGTGCGTGTGCGCGTGCGCGTGTGCGTGTTGGCGTGCGTGTGCGCGTGCGTGTGCGGGTGCGGGTGCGGGTGCGGGTGCGGGTGCGGGTGCGGGTGCGGGTGCGTTTGCGTGTGTGGGTGCGGGTGCGGGTGCGGGGGCGGGGGTCGGGGTGGGGAGTCCATCTTAACCGAGGAAGCCGAAGACAAACCGAGGAGAAACCCAAACCAAGGAAAAACCCAGACCGAGGGCAAAATCCAAACCGAGGAAACAATCCAACTGGGGAAAATGCATGAAAATAGGCAGAGGAGACACCCAAACCGAGGAAAAACCCAAATCGAGGAAAAACCCAAACCGAGGAAAAACCCAAACCGAGGAAAAACCCAAACAGAGGAGAGCCCGACACCGAGGAGGGGCGGGGCCGCCATGCGAAATGGGGTGGAAGAAACCGGGGCGGCCCAGGAAACCGAGGGGTGCGCCGAAATGGGTGAGGGCAGCCATGCGAGCCCTGTCGCTGGGGCTTTCGGTGGAGCTCCTTTGGGGCCACGAAATGTGCTGAGGGGTGAGCCGAAATTGTGCTGGGCCGCCACGCGAATCCTTCCACTGGGGCTTGTGGTGGAGCTCCTGATGGGGCAACGAAACGTGTGAGGGTTGTGCTGAAGCTGATGGCGGTGATGACGATGACGAGGAGGAGGAGGAGGAAGAGGAGGAGGAGGAGGAGGAGGATGAGGATGAGGATGGGGATGATGCTGATGATGGTAATGGTGATGGTGCTCACGCGCTGGTCTGCCAGGCGTGAGACGTGAAGCGGTAAAACATATCATGCTTCTCCTCCTCCTCCTCCTCCTCCTCCTCCTGCCTCCTCCTCCTCATCTCTCCTCATCATCATCATCATCATCATCATCATCATCATCATCATCATCATCATCATCATCATCATCTCATCATCATCATCATCATCATCATCATCATCATCATCGTCATCGTCATCATCGACCTTTCTCCTCCTCCTCCTCCTCCTCCTCCCTCCTCCTCCTCCTCCTCCGCATCCTTGGAGAGCCTCGGCCCCAGGGCGTGGACGGTTTCCCCCTGCGCTGAGAGCCAAGGGGCGCCGCCCGGCTGCAGCGCCAGGGGCCCGCCGTCGGAACCCGCATCATCAGAGCCACAGAGCCCCCTCCCCCTCTTTTTGTTCCTCCCCCCTGGAGGAGAAGGAGGAGGAGGAGGAAGAGGAGGAGGACGTGGAGGAGGAGGAAGAGAAGGAAGAGGAGGAGGAGAAGGGGAGGAGGAGGGGGACGAGGAGGAGGAGGGGGACGAGGAGGAGGACGAGGAGGAGGAGGAAGAGGAGGAGGAAAAGGAGGAGGAGGAGGAGGAGGAGGAGGAGGAGGAACAGGCTAGAACGCTAGAGCTGCCCAGCGTAAGTCCGATCCACGTCAAACAAGGAGGAGCAGGAGGAGCAGGAGGAGGAGCAGAAGCAGGAGGAGGAGGAGAAGGAGGCCTGCCGCTCCTGGCCGCGGCCCAGGGACAACGCCGGCTTCTCGCGGGCGTGCTCCGATTTCTCGCGGGCGGCGTCCGAGGAGCTGTAGGGCAGACGGCCGCCCCCTCCTCGGCGGCCGCGGGCCCCTCCCCCCCGCTGCCCCGGAGGGGCTCGAGGTGTACACGCGTCCTTTGGTCGTCCAAGGCCCTCAGGGATTCGGAGAAGCTCTTCGGTGTATGTGACCCTGGCGTCGCAGTTGTTTGTGCACGACGGGCGTTTTCGCCCGGCTTGGGGCCCCGGGACCCTCGCAGGTCGATCTGGCTCGAAAGTGATACAGGACAACGGGGTCTAGGTCTAGGGCTCCGGTCGTGATGTTTCGCGATGCTAGGATTTTTCACACCCTTGGACCTGAGGTTTATACGGCCGGGTTCTTGGCTCAGCGTGTTGCTCCGTTAGTTCTGGCCCACCACGCCTCGGCGCGACACGCTGTTCATGTCCCGAGCTGAGCGACCCGCTAACCTCGCTCACAGGGCATAACGTGACGCCGGGGCCGCCACCGCAACATCTTCCGAGGGCCGCGTGGGGGCAGGTCCAGGAGCGCACCCCGGTGCTGTGGTGGCCCGTGTGGGCCCGCACGGAAGGTCCTTCTGGCGAAGGGTCCCTCTTGCGCACAGCCGATCTACACGGAGCTCTTCTTGGCCAACCAGACGGGCGTGGCGTGTACCTCGAGGCCCCCGCCCAGCCCTCCCCCGCGGCCAGCAGGCGCGTGACCCGCCGTGCCCCGGCGGGGTAGCGGGCAGTGCCAGGGGGGGGCCCCCTGAAGTCCGACGCCGCGTGAAAGCTGCAACACAGCGAAAAAGCACGACCAGGACTCAGACTATGCTGCCGCAATTCTCGAGCGGGATCGATCCGCGATGACCCAGGGGACTGAAGCAGGGCGGAATCGTCTGGCATGGCACAAAGACTTGCGGCGCGGGGATCTCAGGGTCACCATTTGGGGGATCACTGGTTCCTCCTGAGGATCGAGGTTCCAGGATCGGAGTTCGACGGGGCTTCTGGACGTTTGGAGTCGTCGTCTTGGGGGGGGCTCTGGGGTGTTCTCATGGGGCCCCTTTTCCTTGACGAAGTGGCGCCTCTTCGAGGAGGTGGTGACCGACCCCCCCAGCGGTGACCCCCCTTGGCATCGCCT